GGCTTGAGCCTCCCTTGGTCCCGCTCCCCACCCCCTGGGGTACCGCTAACATGGCTCTGCCTTTCCCCAGTCCGAATCCCCGGACCCTGATCAAGGCCCGGAGCCCTGAGAAACCGGTCTGGGCTCGCAGCTCTCCAACACACAGGAGTTTGAGGCTAGACCGCTACACCCCAGCCCGACATCATTCCCAGGGGGCGGGCATCCTTAACAATGTCACTCCTTGACCTTTGGGTGGCCTTGGAGCCCTCTGCCTTTTACAAAGCGTTTTTCATAAATGATCACATTGACTCCGCAATCCATGAATTGCCAATTATGGGGTATCTCCTCCCTTGACAGATGCAAAACCCACAGTTCAGAAAGGGAGGTCCTCTGACCACCCTTTCCCCAGCTCAGAAAATGGTGTCCATACCAGGGGTTTTAACCGCCAAAGGAAAGTTTGTCTTTATTGGAGAAGGGAGAGTGGCAGGACGATGCGGGGAGGGTCACAGGCCTGGCTTAGACAAGTGTACAACACATAAGGTCAGAGACTAGGGAACTTTAAAAAAGTCCCAAAGCAGAAGTCTGGTGGCCTTGGTGCCCAGCAAGATCCAAATGTCTACATAGAGGCAGGATTCAGTGGCAAATTGTTTCACAGGGGGAAATGGGGGGGGGGTGACAGAAGGCAGATCCTTCCCTCTTATGTGACCAGAACTGCCAGTGCTCTTCCCTAACCAAGAGCTAGAGCCTGGGTCTCCCCACCCAAACTACACAGCCTCCTCCCTGTGTCCTCACCTGAGGAGGTGAGAACACAAGGTGGGGTGGGACAGTCCTCTCCTGGCATGGTGGCTGTCGGTGGCCTGGGAGACTGGGTTTGTTTACCTCTCAGCAGTGTGGTGGCAGCCAGGCCCAGGGGAGGCTTGGCCTCCAAGACACGAGGCTCCCTGAGATGCCCAGCCTCCCCCAGTGATGCCCTCGGGACCCTGGCAGAAAAACACAGACTGTTCCATCAGTGTGCAGAGGGGAGGCGACCCACAGAGGTAGGGCCATGAGGCCCCGTGGATGAGAGTGTTAGAGTCACAGATGTCCTCTTTTCCCTTCCTGTGTGAGACAGGGACATCACAGAGCCCCAAGCCCCCACCCCCAACCAGCGGAACCCAAAGGAGAGCTCCTAATGGGCTCTCTGAAGGCCCTCTGGCACCAGAAAGGAGGGAGTGGCCTGCTGGAGGTCCTTGCTGAGTGAGGGCTGGGCCAGCTTGCTGGGAACACCTGGGAAGCACCTCAGATTCTTCAGCATTCAGGGAGCCCGGGGCCAAGGGGCCAGGTGGCACGAGGAGCACCAGCACTAGGGCCTTGCATGGCCACCTGAAGCAGAGCAGTGAGACCAGCCAGAGAAAGTTCCCTGGCCCTTCAGAGCTGCCCAGGGCACCTTTCTAGCCACAGATGACCAGAGCTGTCATGCCATCTGCAGGCCCCCCACGGGTCTCTCTGGGTCTCTAAGAGACCTACTCTGGGTTACTGTCCTCTACAGCAGGGGTCTCCAATCCCCACGCTGCGGACTGATACCAGTCCAGCCTGTTGGGAACCTGGCGGCACAGCAGGAGGTGAGCACGGGAGAGCAGAGTGCCATTTTCTGTCAGATCAGCGGCGGCATTCGATTCTCATAGGCACCTGAACCCTATTGTGAACTGCGCATGCCAGGGATCTAGGTTACGCACTCCTTATGAGACTCTAATGCCTGATGATCCCCCCACCCCCCCACCCCCAGTCCGTGGAAAGATTGTCTTCCACGGTCCCTGATGCCAAAAAGGTTGAAGACCACTGCCCTACAGCATGGGTCGGGAATGACTAGGTACTATTAAGGGTTGGGGGGGACGGGAGAGCAGCTGAGTTCTGCCATCACAGGTGACCTTAATGTGACATCTGCCCCGGCCCAGAAGTCTGGGACCCAGGGGAGGAGGCTGTCTGGCCGAGATGTGGGAGGGTCACCTTCCCAGAGGCTTCACAGACCCACTCTCCCTGTGCTCCCCCACACGCTTCCTGTGTCAGGGCTCCTCGTTACTCCAAGCTGCGGGCTCAGGCTGAGTTAGGCTGTCCTGTTCCAGAGACTGTTAATCCACCCTCCCACCCCGCCTTCCTCCTCCCTTTTCCTGATCTTCCCCAGCTGCTTCCTCCATAGGGAGGAGACACCGAGGCAACCAGTGGGCCTCCTCAGCTCGGGGAAAGGTGGTTGGTTGCTGGTCCCCTGAGACTCCCCACTTAATAGCTGTGAGGCTGGGAGGGCAGGGCTAAGCCCCTTCCTCAGAACGGTGAGGCCATAGTGCCCAGCTGGGCCCTGAGTCCAGGCAGGGAGGTCTCTATCTGACCGGGGCTGTTGGAAGGAACGGGACTTCAAAACACTTGGGAGAGGAGGGTGGGGGGAGGCGAGAGGAGGTCGTAACATCATTAGCGTTGTTGAGCAGGGACGAGGCATGGCTTGCCCAAGTTCAAGAGCAGTGACACTGGACTCCAACCCAGGACTTCTCATGGAACCCTGTCCTCTTCCCTCAGCTCCAGGCTGGCAAAGGCAGATGGAGCTCTAGCCAGCAGGTTTTGAATCTCATTACACCACCTGGCGGGAGCTCAGGTTTACACAGGCTCTTCCGAGCCTAAGTGAGGGCTGGGGTGGGGGGGGTGGGAGAAGGGATGGTCCCTGGACGCAGAAATACAACCTGGAGCAGGGGTGCGCCCTAGTGGCCCCGGCCTGAGCTCTGAAATGATACCTCTGCGACCCTGCTCTGACCAAATCACTGCCTCCACCAACCAGCATATGCCCCAGGCGACTGCCTCAGCCCCTATGGTCCTTATCGCCCGGAGCCCTGAGCCTCCAGGAGCCCGGATTTCTAGGACGGGAGGAAGGACAGTGGTTGCCTAACCCTCAGTCACCTCTCCAGGCAGCCTGCAGGGACAGGAGGGGCCAGGCTTCACCTGACAGCCTGACTGCCCAGCAGCCCCTTAAGCCGTTAAAAGTTCTTACATAAGCAGCCGGCTCCTGGGCAGAGCTGCCGGGCTAATTCCCCCAGGCCACCCCCCCAACCCGGCTGCCAGGTCACCTCCCCAGGCTGCTGAACGCCAGCAGATGGGGCAGAGAAAGAGGTCCAAATCCTCTGGACCGGAAGGACGGTGGGATTGCATTTCAAGCTGCCATACAATCCAGAGATTAGCCGCTGTCTCCTTCTCAGCCAGTCCTCCTGGGGCCCAGCTCACTACCCCGCTCTTCCCCCAGGGACCCTCACTTCCTTACAAACCCCCAGCATGGGGGCCTGGGTATTAGGAGAGACCTCGAGGTGAGCTGCACTGGTGGCCGCATCAGGACTTGTGCATGGTGAGGAGGGGACAGTGTCCTCACCTGGCCCTGCGAGCGCTCCATCTGGACGCCCCCACCTGCCAGTAAGAGCACTGAAGAGAGTTCTAGGAGGAGCCGCTAAGGAAGAGACGGCCAAGTCGGGCAGGGACTCCAACAGCACCGCCTGAACCCCAGGAGCTGGCGCCGCTTGGATGGAGTGTCGTCGAGGGCGCTCACGGCCTGCTCCCTCTCCCCGCTCCCGGTGCCCGCGGCGCCGAGTGCCGCGCGCAGCGCCCTCCCGGACCCCCGAGCCCGCC